TCTCTCTCTCTCTCTCTATCTCTCTCTCTCCCTCCCTCTCTCTCTCTCTCTCTCTCCCTCCCTCTCTATCCATCTTTCTCTCTCTTCCTCCCTCTCTCTCTCTCTCTCTCTCTCTCTCTCTCTCTTTGTGCAACGAAATTCACAATCAATAGATTTCTAGGTGATTAGACAGGTACTTCTAATTTATCTAAATGATTTGGGTTTCATACATGAATTTCCGGAAGGGATAGTGTAATCCTCCTTCTCTTTTCATCTTCCTTTTTACACTTCACTTTCTGAGTAAATGCCTAAAGATGTGGGGTTCGTGTTGCATTAAGAAGAAACATCGGCGTGGGAAATAGGGTGATGAGTAGACTTTGTTCTAGAGGCAAAATTTCACAATTGTATTTAGAAACAAATCAACAGACTGATTAAGGATTGGACAGGGGGAAAGAGAAGTAATTGAGGGTAATAAGTGGGTCACTAGTTGTGGGGGTACAGGTGGAATCGATGATGGGGGAGGGGAGAAGGGTATTACCTTGCTGCAAATGTATGATGTATCTTATATATATTATCTTTATTCAAAAAAATAACTTGACCTTTGTTTTTTAAATGCAGCAGGGATGGGGGTAGGGGAACCAGAGAGAAAGGGTCACTTCAAATTCAGATGGAGGAAGGGGAAGGGGGGGGGGGGGGACAGTTTGCTTACATGTTGCAATTTTCAGCTGTATCTTGTATACTAGTAGATCCACTTGTCTAAGTTTTGCCTCGGTCGTATTGCTTTCATCCTCCTCCTGTGCCGCTTGGGACAACCTCAAATGCATAGAAACCTATCGCCTTGGGCATTTCCGCTACATAATGTTGTTAATAACGACCTGATAATTTCAGAGCACTGCTTGGCTTAACACTTGATAGTGAAGCCTTTTCCTGTAGTCATAGCCCATGAAGGATTCTTGCAGTTTTTGCAAGTGTAAGTTTGTAACTCACAATGGGGAAGAATGTGTTTGTGATGTTTTGGGGGTGTTTTTGCCGCACAAGCATTGATAAAACTCGCAAATCAATTTTGAGTCTTCCTCCTTTCTTGTTTTATGAAGAAAATAATTCAAACATCAAGTCAGTTTAGGTAAATGCATCCATCTACACTAAACTAAGACAAACTTTGATAATTATTAAAGTAAGATAGGTTTACTCCAATCATCTACTACAACTCACATCTAAACATTTTGACTCTATGTATTTATTAGATCATAGATGTATCCTTGATTTGAAAAGGGGGGTGCTAAATGCATCCATCCACGTACACATAAAGGTGCATAGAAATGTTCATGTAATAACATACCAAAACTTGCTGTAAGCACGACCATGTAATACCAATAAATGTATACCGGTATTCTAGGCCAGCCTCCAGAAAATTGACCTAGAAATTAATATGCTTGGTGATAAGGAGAACCAGGGAAACAGCACTTAATGCATAACCTCTGATGCAGGCCTTTGCTAATCATTTCTTGAGCTATGGTACCTATAGCATCTAATGTATTTTTAAGATGCACCTGAAATGTGGCTTTTTAAAGGTAATATGCTATTTCTCATTTGGACTTGTAATATAGTGAAATTATATTTTAATTTTTCTTACTTGATACATTTATAATATGATAGAATGCATAACTAAATGGTCAGCTGAGCAACATAAAAAAGTAAGGGATTTTTTAATGACTTTGTTACACTCGTTCAAAGGAGGGCAATTATTTGTATTGACCGATGATAAAATTGTCCAGCATCTTGGACCACAAAGCGACCAATCTTGACAGTTTGATGTTAATTGATCTTCTCTCTATTATATGGTATCCTCTGCTATTTAGCAACAAAGCTTGTTTTAATTAAGCAGCAGTATAGTCTCTCATTCTCCCTTCCGTTCCTCTATGTCAATATAATCGTTCGGTGGACATCAAATATCCATTCAGCAGACTGCACACAGAAAACAGGCTCCATTATCATCATATTCTAGATTTGGTATTTAGTCTTTTGTTTCAGACATTGTCTTGATAAAAGTGCAAAATGAGTAGGAGTAATTTTGCTAATCCATTTTGTTGAGCCCGGTGTACACTACATGATCTGACTATGATCAGGGGGGTGTTTCACAAAGATCCTAAGTAGAACTTAACTCTAAGTTGGACTTAAAAATTATGGACAGCCATTGGAGTCTTAAAATGAAATATATTCAAAAGCAGAAATTCAAGTATTTTAGACTTTTTATGAATTCCACATCCAGAACATGAAATATCCTTGATGATAGACAATATGAATGGTTTGAATAAACAATTAATGCCTTTCAAAATAACTTTTACAAATATTTTCAAAGATGCTAATGGCTTTCCATAATTTTTAAGTCCAACTTAGAGATAGGTTCAACTTATTATCTTTGTGAAACACCCCCCAGACCTTGAAAGACTTTGCCATAGTATTATATATGAGCATTAAAAATTGTACAATCTTAATCAATGAGGATCTGAATATATGTGGTTAATAAAATCTAAATTTTAAGGGATTCATGCTTCCTTGGAGGGGGAAAAGCTAAATCAGCTCAGAATCATAGTGACGTCAGACCAGTAGTATGATTGTCTACGATTTGAAGCCGATTCAGCTTTTATTCTGACTAGAAGAGTTCAATGCACTAAAATTCTGGTTATTAGTATTCTTATCATTATTTAAAATCTAAATCAGAAACATGACGTTTGTTTAGATTCCCATATCTGATGTAATTACAATTTCTTCGAAAATCCTATCGCAGGAGGATCGTACAGTGTGCGCTAGACATTATGGTAAAACACTCATTACTTGTGGTGTAACATGTGTTTGCATAGTGTTTAGTCTGCATATACCCACTCCGATATACCCCACTAGTGTCTTTATAATTAGCAGCAACACTTAATGGCACACCGCTATATCCCTGATTAATCGCTGCTCATTAACCCACACTTCCCCTCAACCCAGAGGGAGCCAGGAAACAGAAGGCCTGCCCTCATCAGCCCCAGATTGCCAAATATCCCGCTATATTTGAACTATCCTGATCGCAAATTATCCAGTTAATCCGTCCACATCAGCCTGAAGTTGCAATTGCAGGATATTTGGTTGAGATAATCATCCAAAGATATATTGGGCTAGTTTGCAAAATATTCCGCTATAGTTGTCCGGTGCGTCTTCACCAGCCTGAAAACTTGCACTATTCGCACACGCTGAGCACAATATCTCGAGCTAATTTCTCGAGCTGATGAAGATGAGATTTGTAACTTCCGGATTATTTCCCAATTCAGAAATAGCGGCCTATTTGGCAATCTCGAGCTGATGAAGACAGGCCTAGAGGGGAAAGCATGCAGGTCGCAAGACACCCCTTGCTCATGGGGGATGATGCTAATGTCTTTCAGCGTTGCATTATCTATGCAAGATCCAATGTAATCCAATCCCCATTGAGCGGGTATGGAGGGTACTCTGGTTGTGTTTGTGGAAACCTCTCCAGTCGGGTCAAAGCTAGTCTGCTACCAGTCGGAGTGGACTTATTTTTGTCTTTTCAATCCTCAGCTACTAGCAGTTTAATTTGAGTGTCATTCAAAGCATTGAGACTTTGAGAGTTATAAGATTGAAGTATTTTTTTACTTGTAGAAATGTTAAAGGGATCTTTGATTAAATGCAGTTACAAGGATTAGAAGGAAAAAAAATGCCCTTGGTCATTTTTGACAAGATAGTCTATACAGTTGTCAGCTGAGAAGCAAATAAATGGGTTACCAATGGTAAACTGTATTTTAAACATTACAAGTTGCAGGCCTACCATTAAAAAGATGATAATAGCACAGATATGTTTAATGCAGCTGGAATTGTGTTTTTTCAAGAGAAGTGCTCAGAAGGCTGTGTATTCTACAAACAAGTGGCCTTAAAATACAGGAGGTGTCACTTCATGTTGACTTTGTGTATGCATAAAAGTTAGAAATCCCCCCCCCCCCAAAAAAAAGGTTATTTTGGGGGGATGCAGATTTGAATGAAAAAGAGGAAGAAATTTCAATAAAAAGAAGAATATATATATCAACAAGGATCGAGCCTGTGATTCAAATAACATACAGCAAAATGGCATAACAAATTATTTTTAGAAAAAAGTTGGTAATATTTTGTGGAGAATGTTCTTGAAAGTCCACAAATAGGGGGTTATTTTTACACCACTAAAATTCATACATTACCATTTTGAATATAAAGCGACTTCGCTAGGCGTTGGGTTAGACTTGAGTTAAATTCTATTCTGATAACTCTCTGTGACTTGATTGAGGCCGATGTAGGTCTGGTTGATGAGAGTTTGATCGTATTACATGTTTGATACCCTGTGTTTGTGCACTTCTGCTTTGACCCCTATTACCGTCTCATATGACATTACAGCTCATCTACACTATAAGTATATCAGGGGAGTGTCCTGAATCAAGATTCTATAGGGGGGGGGGGCAACATTCTGAAAAATCGCAACCTACATTTTGAATTCCCCTCTTCTCGTCATAAAATGAATAGATAGATACCTGATAGCAAATTTGATTGCAAGATATATTGCAAAGCAAAGATTTCATATAAATTTGGGTAATTCCATTGATTTTCAAAGGAACAAAATCTTCTTTCCGGGAAAAGATTTTGATGCTGGTAATAGGAATCTACCTGCAACATTTGGCTTGTATATGACTTGTGTAGCATATTTCCCCCTGACTTACTGGTTTATCACATTGCTGTTCCAAGGTCTCTTAGTATGTGGGAGATAATAGCTCGCTATGTTATTCAAGTTATTCTTTGGACAAGGTGATTTATGATGATTTATTATGAAAACAAATATTTTAAACAATTTTTTTCATTTCACGGTACATGTTGTCTCTTGAGAGCGAGAAGGGCATTAACTCATATTCTATAACACAACTGATTTAATAAAAACTAATGAGTATCTTCAATACCACTCTTTTATGTATTTTTTTTTGTTTTCTTGCTATTTTCTCTGACAGGATTTCAGGAAATGCGGCACTTACAAAGAACATCCATCAAGTGGTCAGTGAGAACATCAAGAAAAACTTTGCCAAGACAAAATGGAAGGTATGTGATGACTTACCCGTAACGTTGGATTCACCCTTAATCCAGGTATCTGGTTACCCATCCTTTAGACCAGAGGCAAATCTAGGATATTTTTTTTTCCAGGGGGAGGGGGGGGGGGCACTTTAAACTAGCAAAAAAGTTTGTTTTCCTTAAGGTCTAAAATTGGAAAGGGAGGCACAAGAACACAATGAGAGTGGCATATCTTTGTGTACTGTATGCTGGAGCTAGATTGAGTTTTTAAATGAGCATTGACCAGTGGTGCCCCTTACCCCCCCCCCCTCCCCCCCCCCCCCCCCCCCCCACACACACACATGCCACTGATGTGGACCATGACTCTACAACCAGTTTAAAGAGGGAAAAAGACATTGTTTCTGCATTTGATGTAGAATCCCAATTAAGATGTCCCATACAAGTTCTAGTAATATGTTTGCATGGACAATATTAGTACAGGGTGCCTAAACAAATCCAAAGGTGTTTAGTTCTAGCCTTGCTCGATGTTGACCTTCCTGGCTTTCTGACAGACAGACCAGTATACCACAGGACAATGTCCCCATCTTCCTGACAGAAACCCTTCTAAAAGGTTAAAGTTGACCACTTCACCATTTATCAGACTTTTGTCATCACTTGTTTATTTTCTGTTATGACAAGTCATGACTTGATGAGGAATTAATTGTGTTTAGCCAGGCCTATACCGATGTTTTTTGTTTATATGACAATGGGGACCGTATCTTGAAGTGACAGTGATTGAGGTGCGCTATCTCCAGACATGAAGGACAAGTCTGGATGTGAGAGAGGAATCTCTGAGGCCATAGAGATGGGTCACCATATTTCATATTGTTTTGTTTAATAGCTTTTATACACATCTCTCAAATTGGCTCTGCAGAGCCAGAAAGGCGTTAACTCTGTGTTAAAGGCCCACTGCACTACTTGTAACTACTTGCGCCCTCTATATAACAAACAATGCCTAATCGGTGACCATTGGTCCCCCATGATCCTCTTTTTCTTATGTTAACTGAGAGCTGAGTTGATGAGATAACCACCTGTCCAGTGACCTTGTAGGGCGGTCTAATCCCTCCTGTAAACTATGGCAGATAAGCTTTAAAGTATATGAGCTAATGCCCTTCTGGCCCCAAACAGATGAATTTTGAGACATATATTGGTTACTTACATGGGATTACATTCTTAAAGAGTTAATGAATTAATCACTGAACCGTTAAGACCATGTTTGAACACGTATTACCAAAAAACGTGCACTCCATGGCTGTAATAGCTTGAGATTAAGACTGTTGTTTTGGCAAAAGGTTCTATGATTACTTAATTTTTTGTTGTAAAAGCAAATCTCTTTTGGTGGTACCAAGGTCTGCTAACGTCATCCCAAAAGAATCGATGCCAAGATGATCAAATCTATAGTAACTAGTTCAAAGTTTCCTTGGAAGAACACCTGTGCACCTTCAGAAATTCTCATGGAATACCTGCCAGTCCCCCTTGTAAGGTTGATTTCATTTGCAATACTCATTTGATCACCACCCCCCCCCCCCCCCACCCCTCCCCCTCTCCCCTCTTCCCTCTCCCAATCTTGTTTGAGTGGTAATTGTATTTTTCAAGTAGCATTCATTAAGATCAAGGATAGTATTCCAATAACCCTGCTCAGTGAAGAGAAGCTTAATCAAGGTTTAAAGAGAGTTCTTCATGATGGTGGTTTTCTTTTTCACAGGTAGAACATATACGATTGGACACATGTTTGATGAGTTTAGTATGTATTAGACTTGACAATTAGTTTGCAAAATATATGGATATGGAAGGAAAAAAACAAAACATGAAAGACTGAAATAAATTGTGTTTATCGTACCACATGTTTGAACATTCATGTATGTGTAGTTCCACTCTAACATGAATGGTACTTGTATGTACATGTGTGTACGTACTAGAATTCAAAATGACTTATGACTTTATATCTTTCTTTTTATCTTTCTTTTTACTCTTTCTACTCTCTCTTCTCATCTCTCCCTTTCCTCTCCCTGTGATCTCACCCTCTCTCACCCCTTGTATCCTTTCTCTCTCCCTCAACACTTTGTATTTTGCCTTTCTCTCGCTCTCTGTCTATTCTCCATCTCTTTCCCTCTCCCTCTCTATACAGCAAGCCTTCAATGCCACCGCAGTGGTCAGACACATGAGAAAGCTGGGGCTGGGTGACGTCAAGGCACGATTACAAAAGAAAGAGGAGGAGAACAGCAGGTCGGAGGAGAGCAACAGCCAAGAAGGCTCTTCAGATAGTTAGCTGTATCATCACCATGGCAACCCATTCGCAAGCCCTCCAAACCCCTCCAGAGCACCCCCATCATAGCCTTCCTCTAGCTCTCTCCACTTTGGAATTATCAAAAAAAAACCTCTCTGCATGCAGCCCGATCAAGACTCTTCAAGAGCGGTGGTGTCCCGTCCTGGTTAAAACGTGAACTGAGATCGTGCAAAGCTGAAAAGCCGTCCTTCTGTTGCATCTAGACCTGACGAGATCCGCCTTCCAAAATATCTGCCCAAATTAGCTTGTCTGCAATCATCCTCCAACCTTGAACCAGCGAGCATTTAACTATTTTGATCATCTAAGAAGGGAGAAGGGGATGCAGGAATTGGGATATATACTCATCATGATGCAGTTCATGCTCCTCTTTCCAAGAGTTTTCCAAAAATATATCATAACCTTTTCAATTTAGCTCTTATATTTCAACAACAAATATTTCCTGTTGGTGAATGATAATGCTTAACTGCACGGGAATGATACGCAAATTTGAAAAAAGGCAAGAGTACTCCATGTCTGTCTCTCCATTCAAACATCCTCTGTTGTACATGGCAATTAAAGCAATCTTGTGTTGCTTGTCAGAAATCAACAACTGTTCCCAATTAAGGAATGACCAATCTAAGCTCGCAGCAAGTGCATACTCTGAGGAATAGTATTGAAACATGTGTGAAGGAATAAGAAGATATTCCAAATGACACAAACACAATTTCTGAAAATATAATTCTACTTTAATAGCAGAAATATATGTTCACAGTTCACACTGTAAAGAACCAGCAACAAATTAGTGCAATTGTATAATGGAAAGAAATTGATGGTTTAAAAGGAAGGATTTGGAATGATTAAGATGAAATTGGCTATGTGTACTCTTATCTCTCTCCCTTCTCAATTAATTTTCTACATGAACACGTCTTTAGTTGTATTGAATGTATGTTCTTGTTTCTTTTTAGTCCTGTTACAGTTGTTTCTGGATTCTATGTACATCTTCTTGTAAATATTTTGTTGAATAGAAGTTTTTGGAATGGACTTTTCAAGCTTTGAATGAGGAATCTTAGAAAGTTTGGGAAGTGAAGGTCCTTTTTCTATATCACACTTGTCGCTTTTACATGTATTGGACTATTCAGTAGTCATATATTAGGCTTTCAATGATTTTGCATTGCATACTTTAGCATGTTAGAGGTTTTTTTTCATGAATTATCTTTTTGATTTCTAATTATTATTGTTTGGTCTATTCATTCCAGTCAACCATTTGAAGAAAAAGTATCAGGATTTTACCTGATATTTCTTTCTTTGTGTGTGCTGTTTGTAGTAGCAGCGAAGAGAACAAAGTGAAGTTTTTCTCTTTTTCTATCTATCTCTATCTTACTCATTTTAATGGGTATCTTTATTTAGACTAAATAGCCCTTGCATTTTCTCATCACATTATCTTGTTCTTCTTTATGCTTTGTAGCTTAACCAGAGATATGTGCAAAATGAGTGCCTTGCGGCGAGTGTTCTTGTAATTGTAATTCAATTTTAAGTGTCAGTATTACAGAATAAGTGAAGAGGAAATCAATTATTTTGGATTGTTTTTTGAATTACTTTTCTGTTTCCTCTATGTGAAATGAGAAATCAGAAGAAACAACACTTTGACTTAATTTTGTAGATACTATTACATGTAAAAAAAAAAAATCTGTTTTACATGAAGTTTAATTGACAGATGAAAATCTGGATACTCTATATATGCATTTGGTTTTGTAAATTTTGGTGATCAAAAGGTCTTGTTTATGTCAAAAGTATATATATGTTGGAAGTATATCAAAGTCTATGGTCATATTGTACAAGTCTATGAACGGATTTATTTGTGTAGAGAGTTGGTATGAAGTTTTGATGATATTTGAGAAATCTTTATGACAATTGATTATTTAAGTGTAATTCTATTGAATAGCCGTACTGTACAGTTTTTCTTTTTCGTAATTAAACAGTCTTGAATATTGTGCAGAATTGTGTGCTATCTAAAAAAAAAATCAGTACCAACTTGTTTAACCTAAAATTACGTGAAAGTAAAATGATTATTAGAAAGTAAACTGTATATTCATTCACAAGAGGACAATTTCATAATGTTTCATTGGATGCACAGAGTTGAAGCCATGTGGATGAGGAAAGCCGTTTTGTATAATAGTAGGACAGACTGCCTCTTTTATCGGGCAACTTTGTGATTTTTATGAAAAAAGAGAAGATTTTACTGCTTTCTTCCACAGGTGTCTTGTCATTTTCCAGTCATTTTTCTCCCCAAAGCAATTTTTTGAGTGTTTCCGTCTCTTTTTTAAAGGCCAGTTTATATACTGAAAGAAAAAATAGTTGTGTTGAAGATAGTGTCAACCGTTTGAATAGATCATTAATTCCCAACTGAATGATAAAATGACAGAAATCTAGTAAAAAAAGAACAAAAAATGTACATTTTTTAAAACAATTAAACAAATTCTGAATGGTAATGTCTTGTAAGGCTTGCAGACACACTTCAAATGTGGTGCAAGAAAGGCATACACCTTTGTGATGAATTCTTGAAGGTTATAGTCTGTGCAATCAATTTTTGTTTTACAACTTAATTATGGTGCATTTTTTTTTTTAAACAGTGGAGGTATGTATGAAGATAAAAATCAGACAAAAAGGGGATATTTAAGGTTATAACAAAATTTACAGTGTCTTCAGCATATGCATCGAGCATTCAAGAATAATGACAGTCTGTCAACACATTAAACTGTGAAATCACATTTTGTTCTCTCAAATAAGATTAATTATTTATGTTTAGAATGTACATATGGCTACCTAGTGCGAGGGTTAAGTATAGTTCGTGCCTATCGAAAGGGCATTTGCTAGGGAATTAATAATGGGCACTATCACCTGTCTACCGGGCAATTTTTATAATTTTCTTCTCCATGTATCTGGCATTGGTTGACACTATCTTCAACAGAGAAAGCTCATAGACTGCCGTAGAGTTTTCCAGAAGGGCACATCTGGTATTAGATAGATATGTAGAGAATTCCAGAACTATACTGTAGACTAAAATTCCTGAAACTTCCACTTCAGAACATGTGATACATATTCATTAGTACACTGGGGTTCCACTAAGGCAGTCCCCCCCCCCCCCCCCCACACACACACACAATTGAGAGAGAAAAAATGACATCATATCTCTGAAGCAGTTAACATGACATTGAGATTGAAATAAAAATGTTGAAAGATTGGAAAAAATTGTAAACAAGATCTTACAAAATGTAATTTTCAATCCCATTGATTCATATTCATATTCATATATTCATACTCATAGAGTCAAGGATAATGCAAACATAAGGAAGGGAAGGAACTGAAGGAACTGAAAGCGAAACTCCCGCCCCTAATTATCAAAACGAACATCCCCAACCTAAATCTCAAAATCAAAAGAATAGATAACAACTTTTAATTCCTTGACTTAGGTGTATATTGTAGTATAGAACATAGCAACTTTTTCCCATTCATTGTAAGCATATAGGCTAATGCTATAATTCAAGAATGCTAGCACAATTTGAGAATCTGATTCGAGGGAGAGCCATAGTTCCTTCTTGGTTTTGAGTAAAGGAACAATGCTTTTTAAATTAATGAACAGTATTTTGACGTATTCATGTTTCGACAATGAATTTTGATGATGTATGTTTTATTATTTCTGCAAACACTTCCTCATTTTGTAAATATGTATAAACAACTTATGAAGGGCCTTTTTGCAGTAATGTTTAATGGTGACTTCTGTTAGTGTACTATCAGTAATTTAAAGGGCCCTTTTTGCCAATTCAAGTTATGTCTTTTTTGTTAATTTTAATGATCACTTAATTGACTGTATTTGATAGAAATACCATTTTAAAGAGAAAAATCACAATTATCTCATGCTATCTTTGAAAAAATTATTAATTTCTCTCTATTGTTCACTTCCCTATGTCTCACCTTAGAAATGAACAATACTAGATGCAAAATATTCAGTGTTGATATTAGAGGAATTGTATAGCCCTTTGCAGCATTTTAAACGTACCACATTTAGTTTGCCGATTAATGTGATTCCGTTTTGTGTACTGTCAAAGCTAATCAAAGTACAGGTAGAGTTCAAATGTTTCACAGCTCTCTGATATACACTCGGCCCCCAAAAAAGGTGGAAGCTATTTATAGTTCAGATTTTCAAATAGATTATAAACTTATCTTTCATGTATCAGAATAAATCTAAATTAATCCTCTTAGATTGAAATCATACCATTCACGCATGACTGAGCATTGCTATTTAACTCTAAGTGAGTCTCTGGAAGAAAATTGCAAAACTTGGGCGTCTGGCCATTCAAACATTGATGAGCATTTCCATCTTGCAGAGTCAAATTGAAATAATAAAAGAAGAAAGCATCAGTCCTGAGACTACACTTGGTATCCATAGCTCAATCCTCATTTCTTATCGTTCTATGTTTCAATTTTTCTTTGTGTCCATTATTAACGTTTGATTTTGGTAAAAACACACAATTCTCATAAATGTCAGTCCAAGATATCTCCAGCTTTAAGCCTCACTAATAGTAAACTACAGGTTAATTCATCAGTCTATACGGATGTTGCATTTGTATAATAATGACAGAATGGTTTATCAATTCCTGCGGTCTCCTGAGAAATATTTGTGATCTGTGATGCTAATGTCTGATGCACTTCAAACCAACCATACTTTTTTCATTGATGTGGAAATTGATTTACTCAAGAGGGAATCCATATTCCTTAAGGTCCGTTCATCTGTCTATTGATATGCATGGTCACCGATGCAATGATAATTGAGCTTAGATCTCTCAAATCCATATTAACTTATGAGACAATTAAACGAAACATAAACTGGGGGAGGGAGGGGGAGGGAGGGGGGGGGGGGGAAGGGGAGGCTTCAGTCTGCTGGTCATTTGCCAATCCATCAAAAGACCCAAATTCCTGGTATATGAAAACATTAATTCTATTTGACAAAACCATGAGCAACAGTCCCATTGTGAACTAATGAATGCTATTTGACTCTCACAAAATAAAGATCAATAGCTCAACTGCACATAATAAATTCAAAAAATCTTTTGTTTAAAGTCAAAGCTTGTTGCGTACTCTGTAAAGCATAATTTCTCTAACAAACGGTCTACGTTCTAAATGTCTGTTACATTGTTCAGTGTCCAGATCATCCATGCACCTCACTAGCATGTTGTCGTGTCACCTACAGAGGGCCAGAAGGGCGTTATTCACTTAACATCGGTTCAACGACCTTTTGGCTCTCATCTGATAATTTGATGCAATCTTTGTCTCTTTATGTTTCTTCTTCCTTCAAAAATGGATTTTATTTGCCAAGTGATTACGTTTGTGAACTAATGAATTTCATTGACTGTAACTAGAGTATGATAGGTATTTTGAAGCTTTGAAGCTATAAATGTGCGGGTATCATGTGTGAGATTAATTTATATGTATATTTATTATTCTTATTAGTTTTTTTATTTCTAATGATAGTGAAGATTTTTCACGGGTAAGTTAGGTTTGTTTTTATGATGATTTTTGACTATTTGGATATATTTGTTTAAAACTTTAATTAAATGTAATTCCTGCTCTCAATTACAATCAATTCAACAAAATGGGAACAGTAATTGTTTATGATAAAAGAAAACCATTACATCTTAAATTGAAGTGGACAAGTGTGATTCATATTATGGACACGACACACAACAAAATACTCAAATTATTTCAGTTGTGTCCACTCTTTTGTATTTTGTAGTCTGTTAAATTTATCAAAATCAATTTTCTTTACACATGAACTGCTCCTGCAATTACAATTACATGTAACTTTAGTGTTTGTCATTTTGTTAATTTTGCCATGGGAAGATTTTTTTTTCCCTCCTGATTATTGAAGTTCAATATTGATAATTTGAAGTACTGGATGTCAGTACTTATTGTATCTTAAGTTATTGCTTGATTTTCACTGCATTTTCTTTTTCTTTGTGATTGGTTCACAAGCGAGTACATATTGTATATGTAAAGTGATCAAAAATTACATCAAAAATGATTATTGACACCTGTTGAGTCTTGTGTTTTATTTCCAATTGTGAGTGTAAAGTTCTAGCAAAGTGTGATGTTGTCCAAATACAAAAGAGGCAAGTGTTGTAATAGTATGCTATAAAACAGAGTCAAAAGGAAAAAAAAAATTCTTGACAATTTTTGTACAGGAATAATACAAACTTCTTTTTTTTAAAACTTTATACTTGATGTAAGAAATGACTGTCTGCAATGTTCCTGGCAAAACAAATATTTTCAATTTTTGTTCATGATAATGGTAGTTGTTCCTGTTCTCCCTGTTTTACAGCACATTTCAAAGCACATTTCAAATGCAACATCCACATCTACCGAGAGACAGGAGAGTGTCCATTCTTACGACGGTTGTAAGACACTTGCTCCTGTGACAATTGCTTACACTAATCCTTTGACGGAATGAAGCCTAAAGCAATTGTGGGGTCACCCTTTTGGCAATGGCTATCTACAGACTTTTAAGAAATGTCATTATTCACCCCCTCATCTCTTATACTATCTCTTGTTCATTTCATCTCTATATCCTTATCCAGGCTTCATACATCTCTCTCTCTCTCCACTCCCCCCCCCCCCCCCCCCCCCCCACTCCCTCTTCTCTTTATCATCCCATTTCTCCTAAACTCTTTATCTCTATTTCCTTTCCTACCTGCTCCCTAGGAGGAAAATAGAGAGCTTGGGGAGGGGGAGGGAAAGGGTAAGAAGAAGCAAGAGGACCATGTAGGAAGAGTGAGTGAAAGAGACAAAGAGCAAGGAATTGGATATGAAGGGGATGGAAAAGGAAATGGGGAATAGAAGAGAAAGAGGGGGAAGAGAGAGAGAGCAAGGGGAGTGGGAGAGAGAGCAAGGGGAGTGGGGGAGTGGGTGAGAGAGTGAGAGAGAGAAGGGGGGAAATGACAATATATCTTCACCAAACATTTCATCCTAGACTTATCCACAAACTGAAGTAATCAGCTAAAAGTTCCCCTTCTTTTAAAGCTCATTTCTGATTTCTGGATATACATCTCAAGGTAGAACACAATTGGCAGTAAAGCAAGAGTGAAGACCCATCAGGAATTTGATATTTCAATCCTAGACTCGGTAAACCAAGGCCAAGAGCTTAAAGCCGTGTCTTCTTACTATGATCTTGTCTCACTGTATCATTTGCAAGAGACGGTGTCTTATTCAGTGGAGATTTCATGAATCAACTTTTTTGGTTGGAGACACTGTCATTCAAAACTGAGGAGGAAAAACCAGACACATGTACAGCAAGGGCAATTTAAAGTTGTAAACTCTTTTTAATTTATAATACACGCATGGTGTACATTTCTGCACATCATGATAATCTTAGCCGTCCACTGATTTCATACAATACCGTTGAATATCCAAAATGGCATAGCTCAAGCATCCTTAATTCATACACATAAAATCCACTTAAAATCAGGAGCATTTGACTGCAAAAATTTGGATGTGTGGTGAACATAGTCATGTCACCTTGGGTACATGACCAAAAGGGACTGACATTGTCAATTTTGTAGGTAAATACATGCCTTAATATTATAATTTGATTTCAAATTATTCCTGTATGAATAAACAAGAAGACATCATACTGGAATGCCCAAAATACATTGTTTTTCTGCCTGATGATCAGATACACAAGATTTTCTGATGGTGCAGCCCTGAGTAATAATTCTCATAAACATCACTTCCAAAAGGGTGTACTTCATATGCATCCCATCAACTCACACAACCATTCTGATAATCCAAGTTCTACAAGATGACCCTTTCTCAAAACAATTTGGGTAAATAATATATTGCAGTTCTAGTAACGAGAACCATGCAACATTTAAACTCCAATATTTTCTGATGGGCATCTTATGTGATGAAATGTCTTTTCTTTCCCTGATATGCTCCCGTTCATTACCATCTACATTTGAAATGAGGTAAACAAATAGATTAGAGCATTCTAAAGCAATCGCTGACCATGGATTAGATGTGCCAATACAGAAGGCGAGGGGACTCGTAGAAATATGTTGTGGAAGGATTTGTGTAAGAAATAACTGACAGAAGAGGACTGTTAAAGAGGGTTCAAGTCATTTTAAAGAACATATTCATGGAATAACGTTGACAGAAGGCCTCCTCTTTTACTTTTAAAACATCTTCATGCTCTTTTCTTAGTTATACAGCTAATATGGTGATATCAAATTACAGGAAAACTCTTCCACCTTGGCATCATGCAATGTGCGGACTTGAAAAGTCAGAAGATCATGTGCATCACATATTGTCTGCAAGTCAAAATTACAAAGGAAAATGGGACAGACAGTTACAGGTTTTTTCACCCACCCCCTTGATTTATTCCAGTCTAACCTACTTAGCAACAACCTCAATAGAAAGACGACAAGTCTACGAGACCACTATCGTGATTACTTTGAGTGGCCATTACACAGGTATAACTCGAACACTGGATTTCTTTGTATCATACATGCAGCAGTTAAGGACACCCCTAACCCTCCCTCCTCTCCACCACATCACCAATGCTACAATTCACAAATAAACACACTCTATGATTAATCTATGCTGTACGGAGAGGCTCTGGGTCCTCCTCGGGTAGAACCAGTTTGCTGGGGTCAATGAAGTTGGGGTCGATGACCAGTGCTCCTGCTGCTCTCCTCTCGTCCAAGACAACCAGTGCTTCTTTTCTCGCCCATTCCCTTCCAGTCCTGGGGTAGGGAGGGGGGAGGGGGTATAGAGAAAAGGACAAGATGTAAGTGGTGAGATTATGAGATATAAAGATGAAGTGGAGCAAAAACAGGAAATAAATGTTAAAATGGTACTGTTCAACTGATTTCTAATCCAAAATTTACAAGTAAATGTTTTAAAATATATTTCAGTACTTGTTGGTGGAAATTACTGTACGTCTTAGGAACTTTTTAAAAATTTGTGTAAATTTCATGCATGGGTTGTACTTACGGATCGGGTAAGTAGTGCACAAAAGCAGGACCAAATACCATGACGATGGAGATGGTTGTAAAAAAGATCACTCTGTACGCATACGTGTCCCAGTAGGGGTCATCATGAAATCCATGTGTTACGTATGTCTAAAAAGAAGAATAAATAAAATAACAAAGATTAAGGATTAAGTAAAAGAAACAAGAACGCCCGTACCTATGTACATGGATATATCATATAAAACATGTCACAATATTATATCAACAGGGATAAAGGTTTGTTTCCATTAATCTGTAAACAGAACCATCAAAGGATACTCGTATACATATTTGTTTTGTTTTAGACATTATTTGCTGGTGTTGTTTTAATTCGGACAAGAAATGTTCTTCTATATATGACATTCACAGTAATATATCAGCAAGACTGCAACATATTGCATTTAAAATCTAAAATTGCATGCACACTGAACGACTTCACAGCTTAGCCGAGGGGAATTTTTCACATGGCACTGATGGAAGGCTTTATTTACATATAAAAAGCTAACACCACATCTTCATGGAGCCTTGCATCTCTGCACCAACATATTAATCACATCAGAAAATCTTTTAAAATCTAAATTCCCTATACTCTCCATCATAATTTTCTCATACTTATACACTTTCTCACAGGATTCACGGCAAACCGCTGCACAATACAACTACAAGTGCATACTGACGGTGGGTTTAAGTAAACGACCGTACTGAACCACTGATCAATTCATAATGTGAATTACTTACATGGATTTAATCATTAATGAGGATCAGAGATTACAGTCGCAATCTTCACGCGGGCGCCGGCCCGAAACCCACCATCGGTATGAACTTGTACTACGGGTAGTTGTATTGTGCAGCGGTTTTCCATGAAAACCTGTGAGAACTGAGAAAGAGTGTTCTAATATCTTTGTTTTTAGGAAAAATAGAGTAAAGGAGGGAGCTTTCGGACACATAAGACAAAATCCTATTTTAGGACTCTTTACTTCCTATTACTTATCATTTCTTGTTCAAATCATGAAGCAAATACTATTATTATTTAAACGAAAAAAAGAATCCCAGAAAAAAAATCATGAATTGCAATGACAATATTCATTTTCATGTGCACTGTTTCGGAGGTAGTTTTCGGCCTAGCGAGGCAGTTTTCAGCCGCATGAATGTACGTAGTCACTAGTCAGTAGGGAGCACGCGGTGCGTTTGCCCGCTGATGCTAGAGCACGGGCTCGCTGTGGTACAAAAAGTAAGACGCGTGCGGCCAGAGCACTTAATCCCCCGCATGGCCGAAAACTACACCTGCTGGTACGGTGATCAGCAATTGGAATCTAAACTATACAGAGATACAGCGCTATAGTATCCGACCTATACTAGGATAATATACATGCGGTGAGAAACTTTTGAGCTTACGATGCTCAAAACTGAAAAATACTTGAAATACAGCTCATTGTATGGGACCCATATTCCATACAGACAAGCGTAAGATATATTCAATTTTTCAGATTAGGGTAGCGGGACCGCCGATTACATCGCTAAAATATGGTTCTCCAGTGACTCTGCCACATTATTGTATGTGTGTGATACAAGTATGTGATATGCTGTGGATTTTTACCATGCCTCAAACGGACCGGACGAAAACTCCCTCCATTAGCCTACTCTAGACTACTCCAAAAAGATAAGGAAATTGACACTTTCAAAAACTCAGGTAAGAAAGATTAGTCTAAGACTTTTAATCATGACTGTAGATCTAAGTGTAATGTTATTTGAACAATTGTGGAAGATTTATATGGTTTTGGTGTGTCAGTGTCATAGTAAGGTATCACCACTCTGGATTTGCGGGTCGAAAATATGGTCACAATTGCAGTTGACTTGTGAACATCGAACAAGCGCCCTTTTTTTTTTACATGCAAATGAATGTCAACTGCCTGCAACAAAATTTGGGCATATTCACTGAGCTCTGACCGAGACCGAGTCTTTGTTATAAAATACATAAATGGGAAGCGTAGATCTATTACACTTTACCTCACAATAATAATTTTTAAAAAACGGCCGCGAATTTGCCGCGTCATATTTAAACGAGTGAATATTTGTTTGGTTTAAGTCACACTAGATCTAGATCTAGATCTATACACTGTTTTTACGTTACACATTTTTAAATATGTGGGACAAGGAAAACCTACGGGATCTGATGCATCGGAGTCCGATTCGAGACGGGTGCCTTCTTTGATGATCTCTTCTACCCTCGCAGGGTCGATTTCTGTCTGTTTTCCGATTACAAATTCTGACTGTTCAACTTTTTTCGTAGTAGAACTGTAAACTCGGCAAGGAATTGACCTCAAATTTGGACGGACAAGGGATGAACTTCCCGTTAAAACTTTACTTCCAATTCTCCACACTCTGCTCAGAGACGCCATTTTGAGACGAATGTTTTTCGATAGCACACCGATAACTCAGGGTATCGAAAGAGGGTTCCTCTTCTCTTCTCTTATCTTCTCTGCTCTTTCTTACTTTCTTTCCTTCTTTTCATCTCTCTCTCACTATCTTTCCGACATGCCTTTACTCTTCCTTCTTATTCATTCATTCTTTCTTTCTTCTTTTTAACCGGGGTGGGGGGGGGGGGGGGGGGGGGGTACTCACATTACGGGGGGGGGGGGGGGGGGGGGGGGGGGGGGGGGGGGGGGGGGGGTGCCGCTCTAATGGGTCAATTTTTCACACAAATCCTAAACTTGGGTCCTACTACTACCATTAAAAATGGGTCCGTTTTTTTCTTCTCCAAGTCACACCCGAAAATTGTGAAAAATGTGCCTTACTTCGAGAAAAATCCCCAAATATGACCGTGGGTAAGGGGTTCGAGGCTTCAGCGGCACACCCCCGTCCAAACCCAAATCTGAGTACCCCCCCCCCCCCCCCCCCCCCCCTCTTCCCGGCTGAGAATCTCGTTATATCTATTTAGGCGCAGATCCAGATTTTCTTAGGGGAGGGGGCCAAACTTTTTTTTTTTTTGCTCCGGAAAATTTGAAAATTCGCCCAGTGGGGGTTGGGGGGGGGTTGGGGGTAGTGAGCACTTTTGGGGGGGGGGGCCTTCGAAAATTTAATAATGTGCACCCCCCCCCCCCCCCCCTTGGGCGCCAGGGGGGAGCCCATCCCCCCCCCCCCAAAGGTAAAAATTACGTGTTTTTACACGTTTTTTTTCCAGGGGTTCCGTCTCGCGAATTTTTTTTTTCCCAAACAGGTTTACCTATGAGAGTAAAATCCTGCCTCCTGATTGGTTCAGAGGTATACGCGTCATGAATATTCACGAGCTGAGTTCACAGCACTGTGGCTGAGCTGCAGTACCTAGTATATGTATTACGCATGCGCGTGGACTTCAGTTTTGCTGGCCATTTAGGTGTACAAAATGTATGTGAGCTAGCTGTGGTGCGTGCGAGGGGATTTTTATTGGGGGAAGGGGGGGGGGGGGGGTCTGTTTGTGAACATTTCTGGTTATTCTGGTGCTTGGTTTATATAGTTTTACACTGCGGATTTTTCTTCTCAAAGAGTTCACTTACAGTACACACACTAATATTCCAATTTCACACATAGGCTATACATACAAACACTATCTTTCTCTCTCTCTCTCTCTCTTTCTCTCTCTCGCTCTCTCTCTCTCTCTCGCTCTCTCTTTCTCTATAAACACACACCCACCCACCCTCATGTATTCCAAACACATAAGCAACAAATGCACACACTAGCTGTCAAGAATACACAATAGACACACACAAGGGGTATGAATTATCTTATCAGGATGGTCGACATGAGATGGTTGGATGTGGTTCAAAGCCACTGTGTTGCTCTGAGCATGATATCTTGACAAACATTTAATATTATCACCCGTAACTGAAACCAACACACAATTAATATCACGGTATTAGTCTCTTTTTTGTTCCACCAAGCTAATTTTTGCACCTTGCACAAATGCACTTCTCAACACGAAATATTTCACTAAATTTGTTTTGTTATTTTCACTCAAAATTAATTCAGCCATGCTCACTTTTAATCACTTCACTTATATCTTATTTAACATTGAATACAATGCAGTTGCATGGGTTGTTCTTTTATTTTGTTAACTCGGCAGAGGCCACGGTCATGTTCAAGCATTTACGCTTACGACATATGTGGTCTCCTGCTTTTTCCATTGTATGAAACTTTTATTTTAACTAGAAACAAATGTTGTCAAACTTACATGTTATTCATTATATTTATTTGTATGTTTCTTTGTATTGATATGAAAAAGTGGAAATAAAACAAAACAAACAAACATATCAGTGGTTCTGGTTCCTTTGTGACAGATGAACCTGGCCAAAGAAAACAAAGGACATAAAGTAATATATACAGGCTCTACACATGTCAAAGACAAGCTTTTATTATTAATATGCATACCAAGTGCACATTACACTGATTCATCTCTTATTTAAACATGAATATCTGACTAAGTCCTTTTCAATCTTTATATCTTCAAACTTCTTTTCTCAAGATTATCTAACTTAAATCAGAATCAAAACAATATTTAAAGGACATCCATTTCATTGCATTAATTTGAGCTTTCAACAATAAATACAAACAGCAGGTTCATAACCTTTGACCTACTTTCATGAATTTAAACTTGATATGACATGCACAGGATATGATTTTACATTTTCTGTTATTAAGATACAATCCCCACACACATTTATTTCACTGCCTCTGTCAACTAAATTTGAGACTCCATATATATTGCATGCATGTGTCACTGCTTTTGAGACTAATTCAGAATACATAATAACATAACCTACTGACACTATATACTGACAATTTCAAAGCATTAAAATAAAAAATAAATCCCAATTTTAATTAAAACCTGAACTCTCACTATTTATTCTCAGATTCGAAATTAGACATGAACACTCTATGTGCAAGAATTTAGCATGACCTTTCACATAAAAAAAGTAGTATGAACTTTTACCCAAATTATTTTCAAGATTTTGTTCTATTAATAATCTTTCTTTGTCAATACATTGAACATTCTAATTACAAGTATGTATTACACTTACTGAAATCTATGACAAATGTCACCATTTTCTTAAATGAACAAAAGTTATCTTGAATGAACTAAAATCTAAATTAGCCAATTAAATCATCAGTCATTAAAATGACTATATGCGTGAGATAATATCTTACTTGCAAATTCACTCATGCCTCCATTTATTTCCTTCAAAAGTTATAATGTGCCTTCATTCTACCCTACAAGACTATTTTGTGTCTCATATAAGTTCTTAACAATTTTCATAGCATTATGCCTATAACTTGATTAACTCACTTCGAATCTAACTTGGTACAATTTACTTGACAGAAATTGTTTATATGCCTGTGATTGAAGTATTTTTGTGCTCACAAATCAAATTTGGGAAATATTAAAGGAGAATGAAACCCTGGGGAAAATCCACTTTAATGAAAAGAGAGGATAGAGATAAGCAATTTTTAAAAGTTCCATCAAAATTGGTTACAAAATGAGAAAGTTATGAAAGTTTGAAAAGCCTCAATTTACTTTCTTTGGCGATCCTCAAATTGGCAATGTTGCTTCAAAGTGGCAGGTTTAGTAGTACAATGCTCCATATGTTTTGTACACAAAATTCATATTTTCCCAATTATCTCTGAAGGTGCAGCTTGTCTCCTTAGCTCAAGATATATATCATGGGAAAATGTATTTGATAACATACATGTATGTTGAGTTCACAAAAAGACAAGCAGCATCTTCAGAGATAATGGAGAAAATATGAATTTTGTGTACAAAACATATTGAGAATTGTACAACTAAAGTGCGGTTCGCAAAACTTTTCAAACTTTCATAACTTTCTCATTTCGTAACCGATTTTGATGGAACTTTTTTTTTAATTGCCTCTCTCTATCTTCTCTGTTCGTTAAAATAGATATTTCCCCAGGGTTTCATTCTCCTTTAACTCTTACAGTGCCAAGGGGTTTTGCTTGTTCCCAAATTCTACCAAATCATGTACAGTGCTTGCTTTTCGAACGCCTGTAAATCTCCAACATTAATTTCTATACAGATATGCTGTACACAAAAGTTCTACAAACATTTATTACCCTTTCAAATGATACAAAATAATTCCATTAATTCAATGTCATGCATGAAAATTATTTTGAAATAGAAATGAGCTTAATCTCTCTTGACCTTTCAATTTTCATTTCTCATTTATTTGCTATTGTTTTATGCTAAAAGAATGGATCCTTTCCCAATATCTGCAGTTTTCTAAAAACAAAACAAATCCAATGGTAGCATAATTATAGTGACTTATAAATATTTAAAATACTATATGTATCCTCTAGACTATGTCATATATCATATGTCATATACATGTATGTCAGACCATGTATCCATCTTTCTAAGTGGAGTAATGTTCAATTAAAAATGTAAAGTCTCTTAGCACGGAAAGAATTAAAGTTTGAAAGTTTGAATAAAATCAGACAATCTGTTCAAGAGTTATCATCAAATTTTCAAGGGTTCAGTAAATCCCTATTATTGGGATACCTGGTTTAACTAGCTTGGCAGCATCTGTGATGCTATTGTGGACAAGTCTCCATTCATTTTGTGCATCATTTTTTTTAAATTGATTTATATTAAATTCTAAGCCAGGAATCAACATAATTTTTCCAAAAATGCTTGCAGAATCAATCTAGCCATGTCATACTCAAACCGATTGAATTAAAAGAATCTATATTTTTCTTGAAAATGAAGAAAATGTTAAATTCTGTGTAAAAAATGAATGGAGAGTTGTCCACAATGACATTACAGATGCTGGCAAAGTTGCCAATTCAAGGATCCCCGTAATAAGGATTTACTTAAACTCTTGAACAGATTGCCCGCTTTCGCTCAAACTTTCACTGTCTAACTCTTCTTGTTCTTCTTTATTCACTGAAAGCACACTGATGTCTGGGTTTCAATTAAAGAGAAGGTTGAGTTCTGGGAAGAGGTGAAAAATAATTTGTGAGCATTACTCATTCTTATTATGCAAGTGTGCAGAACATCATTTAAGACATGTTCCCTGAAAAGCATGGCTCTTCAAATGCCTTCATATTCTAAATATGCATGTAACATCGTAAAAATCTGGGGGGGGGGGGGCTTTTTACGCCACATGTTCGTGTAGTCCCATATACATCTTTCTGTGCAAGTGTTTATAACTTTACCAAGACTTGGCCAAATTTCTTATCATTTTGATGATTCCAGAACCTTGCAATACACACAAATTCTTATATGCTAGATGATCAACCTTTTCTGGTTGGTTCCACACCGTTTCTTTCACAATGCAATCGCATGACCAGAACTCAACTTCATCTTTTACTGTCTAGCTGACTATACATGTAACTAACTACCACTTTGAAGATTTATTTTGACCAATC